TAGAAATTCCAGGGGGTGGGGGAGTTCAAACCAAAAAATATTCTGTGGCGGGTATGTTATTTTCTGGAATCACACCATCTTGATTAAAATATCCCCAACACTTTCATTTTATAACAGGACCTTAAAATGTGATTTAGATGTCAGAAAAACATGAGAAAAGAGAGCAAGCAGTGAATCGGACAATGTTTTTTACTTTTTCCAAAAAAAAAAGTGTAGGTCGGGTGATCAGAAAGGAAACATTATATTTGGATGGCCTTATGATAAGATATTAGGTGATAATCACTTTGGGCCAAGGGGTAACTTTCTGATGACAAAAGAGAGACATTTTATATTATTTTGTATTTTAGTTGACTATGTAAATTGATTTTGTAAATGTATTTTTATACTGGATAAGTTTTACTTCCTTATTTAAATTTTCAATGTTATTTATGAGCTCCAGATTTCACTAGAGCTTTCTGTACGTAAGAAGTTGGCAGTAGGTTCAATTATTCACATTAGCGTAAGTTCCACAAATACCCCACCCCCACCAAAATTCCCCGCATCCAGTAGCAGTGAAAACCCATCCTCGGAGATGCAGGGCAGTTAGTTGGCTGAGACAAAGTTAATCAGGAAACATCAGCCCGTTGTTGTAAACTTTCATCACGCCAATTTTGCCCAAATTAACCTTGTTTCATTAGTTTAAAATCGAGAGACTGACACATACGCCCCTGAGACAGTGCTGGCTCTCCGAGGATGGTGATGCACAAAAATCTTCAGATATGGTAGGCCTTGGGAAGGGGGAGAGCCTGACAACTGTTTAACATTAATTAACAAATAAAGAAGCCAAAACCATGTATTATACTGTCATAAAACACGACGGGAATTTGAGAACACAAGAGAAATTTAGAAAACACGAGCCGCAGGCGAGTGTTTTCTATATTTCTCAAGTGTTCTCAAATTCCCGTCGTGTTTTATGACAGTATAATACATGGTTTTGGCTTCTTTATGTGCTTTAAAAATATAGATTTACGCGCGCGAAACGATAAAACCACGCTTTTCTATGATTTATACTCTGATAAAACATGGTTTTTAACCAATCAGAGCGCGCGAAATTTTCGGTCTATATTTTAATAGCATTTATTTTGCTTACAAGCTATTTTTTCTACAAAATTATAGAACTCAATTAAATAATAAAATAGATTTACCACATTTTCATTGGTCTTTTTCTGCAAAACTTGTCATTAAATAAATATTGCAATTATCACATTACACTCTTGTGTGGGTTTCATGTGAGCGGCGAAGGTGCGAGGATCCTTCTCGCAGGATCGAAACTTGCTCTTCGCGTGTATCCCAAACAAGAGAGCCTAATACTGGCAGGCTAATTCCTTTAATTGGATATGACATGTAACTGATGATCAACCCGTAACTTTTATATGTGGGAGAACCCCGGGCCTGGGATACAACATCACCCACTTTTGCACTATAATTTTTGAAAAAAAAATTATCACTAGCGTTCTCTCAAAAATAACCTTGAAGATTTTACAAAGCAAAATTCATGCCCAACATACTTTACTGCAATTGAAGATGCAAAAATCCTTCCCATAACAAGCCCCTTCCACCCCCACCCCCCCCCCCCTCCGAATATAAGCCCATGGGATTTAGCTCCTATTCCACTGCTCTCTCAAGTCATTCAGCCAGCTCATTTTCCCAGCCAAAAAAAGTAGAACTTATTTGTTTTACTTTTTGTTGTTAGATCCAAAATCCTTACCGATAATACAAACCCCTCGATAATTACCCTACCCCCAGAAATGTTTTTAAAAGCCAACAAAAAAGCTGATAATAATTTCACTGCCATGTTGCATGTAGCTCAGAAATCAGAAGACATATTTCGCCACAGACCTGTGCAGGATTTAACAGGTTTAAAAATTTCAACCTACACGTACATACTGGCGCCATGGCTACATAGGATGCATAATGAGGAAAAAAATTGTAAGAAGCAATGGCGGCAAACAAATAAATTGAATTGAAATTGAATCATGGAAACAGAAACACAAAATGAGAGAAAATAGTCGAGCTTCAAACTATACAGGATCGAAAGTGCAAACAGCAAGAACGTGATTGGTCGAGAACTTTTTCAGAAATTATCCAATCACAAATGGCCTAACTAACAACTAACTCCTCACGCGTCCGCACGATTATGATAAATGCTCGTGGCATGAATATTTTTTCCATCCCAGAAAATCGAAAAGTAGCCTTTTGAGTTATCTTGTGATTTGCAAAGTAAAATGTCTGGACGTGGAAAAGGAGGCAAAGGTCTAGGAAAAGGAGGCGCCAAGCGTCACCGAAAGATCCTTCGGGACAACATCCAAGGCATCACCAAGCCAGCCATCCGTCGTCTTGCTCGCCGTGGCGGTGTCAAGCGAATCTCTGGCCTGATCTACGAGGAGACTCGTGGTGTTCTCAAAGTTTTCCTTGAGAACGTGATCCGTGATGCTGTGACATACACCGAGCACGCCAAGAGAAAGACTGTGACAGCCATGGATGTGGTGTACGCTCTGAAAACGACAAGGCCGTACTCTGTACGGATTTGGCGGTTAGACTGCACAAGTCTGCCATCACAAAACAAACGGTTCCTTTAGGAGCCACCACATTTGAAAAAGTTATGACCAACACTGATTTCAGCTATCCTGTCCTAAAAATGTTGTTCTCAAACACAATTTCTGGGAAGGTGCTTTCTTTTCACGTGCCAGAGAAAACATTTTTGGCGCGAAAACTGAACTTTCTCTAAAGACAGTATAGCGATGTTTCTCGTTACGTCACCCCAGAGAAACTGTTGGCTGTTGAAACAAAGAGTTCTTTTGTTTAATGGTTGGCAAATTTGAATAACAACAAATTTGACCAGTGAACACCCCTATAACTCATCAAAGGGAAAACATTTTGTTCTTTTGGCTAGTCACTATTGTTCTTGCCAAGTAAAGTGTGTTATGGCACACGTAACTGAAGGGGTGGTGGAGGATATTTCTTCTCAAATAGGAATTCCTCAAATAGATGTAGATCTAAATACAGTCAAAGCTCTTTGAATGGACACTTGTTAGCAGACAGTTCTAGGACTTTAGGCCACCTTGACAAAAACCCTGTTTGAACTCTCTTCCGACTGTTTTTGAGGGGAGGAGCTGAGGTGGATGTACACAGGCATCGCGGGCACTTTCAGTTGTTTCTAAGCTCCCATAAGTAGACACCCGTATTATACTGTTTGGTGTGAGCGGTAAAAGCTTCCATAAGCGGCCATGTATCCCTTCTACTGCTAGTGGCCGCTTACGAGAATCATTCTCGCAAGCGGCCAAGGGTGTCTGCTTACGAGAGCTTCAACTGTATGTGCGGTTCCAGAAAATGTCCATAACCACCCCAAGGGAGTTCTGAGGTCTCTATATTTTTTTAGGAAGAGTGGGGGAGGGTCAAACCAAACAAATTTTATGTAGGGGAGGGGTTATGGATATTTTCTGGAACCAGGTACGCAGGCTACAGCTAAAGTTGGAATGTGTGGTGGTTTCGTTGGTGAATCTGTAATGGTAAAATACAGGGCAAAGACTACTTTGAGCTTGACACACCACCAGCAACACAGGTTTGGAGAAGTTTGTGCGCTGGATTGTGATAGAATGATAGGGATGGGGTGGAAATAACATGGTTTGTACAGTCTGGAAAAAGTATATACGAGATATGACTAGTTTCCAGATCTGGGAAGGTCTGTTTTCTTGCCCCAATCCTCATGCTCTGCGCTTGGTCCGAATCCCAAAACAAGTGAGCCTGCTCCCAGGCTAGGTTCAAACGGGTCCTTGAAATCCTGGAATGTCATGTGAAACAAGTAATTTTTTTGGCAGTTCCTGGAAAGTCAGGTGATAATTTAAAAAACATGCAAGACAGATTTGTGTGAGAATCTTGAAAAGTACAGGCTGAACTTTTGAAGATTTTAATGGAGAAGAAAAAATTATGTTCCTGACTACAAGACTTGTACATTTATGATAACAAAAACACTTGATACTGTATTTTTTTGCTTTAATTTATTTTTATTATTTTGAGAACAAAGTGCATCTTTGCAACAAAGTTTTTTTTTCTAATAAAAAAAAAGATGGGACACTGGTTTCATTTTGTACTAAAACAAAGCCAGTCATCAATGTCCAGAGTACTTCCTTGCTTGCAGAGTAAGCTCTTGAGGCTTCAGCAATTCATTTCCCTGAAAACAAACTTGTGAAGTGCAGAATTGTTAGAGGTGCAGTTTCATTCATTCAACCCAAAGGTGAAGTGTCGTGAGCTGAACACACAAGATCTCCACTCCCTCTCAGAAACTTGACCTTTTACCCCAAATTTGAGCTTCTAAACTTGGGGTGTGGCTTATCTACGAGTGCGGCTTATCTGTAAGTGTTTACAGTATATGAAACTTCATAACTGTCCAGAGTGCCAATTTTTTCCTAAAGGATTCTTATGTTTTCTTTTGTGCGTGGATTAGCTCACTTTGACTGCAAACCGCCACAAGGAAAGCATCTGGCACCTCAGTCAAAAACGACTTTTTTTTCACTAGAAAACATTCGGGCTGTAATTTTTACTATTCAACACTCATGACACTTTTCCTTTAGCCCTGCAATCCCAAAACTGATCAACATCTAATTTCTACTTACAATATAAATACATAGTGAAGCAGACAGGTGATGAGAATAAAGAAAATCATCAACAAGGGTTACTGTTTCAAAGTACCACCAAATTCTCAGAACTGACATTAAAAGAAATGTATGCAATCAGTAAGGAGAATTGACCATTTGAACGTTCAAGAAGTTACAACAAAGCGGTCTACAAGCCTAATGGCGTATCGAGGAGTATCGCTACTCCCCTGGATGGGATGCTAGTCCATCACAGGTAACCCCCAACATTTTCGTCATGTTGCCCTGACAATTTGCTGATATCCATTTACTTCTGGGTGGAGAGAGGCACTGCGAGAGTGAAGTGTCTTGTCCAAGAACACAACACAATGATCCTGGACAGGCTTGAACCTGGACCACTTGATCTGGAGTCCAACACACTAACCATTAGGCCACTAAGCCTCCCACTTATTACTGCCGGGGGGGGGGGGGGGGGGGGGGGAATGGATCATAAGCCAAGTTCTCAACAATGCCAGAAAACAAGCTGGCCCAGAAACAAATTAACCAACTCGGCATTGAAGTGAACTATTGTTGTTGAGCCTAGCATGCTTGCTTGTTCACAATATTAGCGTGCACAAGCTCTCTTGCCCTTCACTTACTTGACCTACAACAGCATCTTCTATCTGTCCAAGTTACTCTTCAGTGGGAGCGAGATCTGGAACGGGAGTGGGACCTCTTGCTGAGGAAAAAAGAAAATGTTGGGCACAAAATGAAATCTGCAAATGGTTACACATTTTAGAGCGGTTTTCAATTGAGTGCTGAAAACAAACGCGGAATTGCTTTGGTTTTGCTTTACTATGCTCTATGATTAGTCTAAAAAACTCGCACCTTCTGCTCAACCAATCAGATGCAAAACCAAAAACCAATCGCCGCGTGGTCGCATGCGTTTTTCCGCACTTGGCGCTGGTTACGTGTATTTACTTTGAGTTCTCATTGGTGCATTGTGTTGTTTACATTTGATGTGATTGGTCATTGTAGTTTTGGTTTCATGACACTCAATCGAAAACCACTCTAGTGCTGGCAAAGTTTTTGTCTGAGATGCAAGCACAAAGGCCAGAAATAGTCCCAGGGACTCTCATCTAAAAAGACAGAGGTGATCACTGTACCTTTTAGGTTTGGTATAATGCTTAGGATGTTTAAAACTAATTTTTATACCACCGTAATAGTTATCCTGGTGCCTTTTAGGGTGTTAAGCTGGAAAATAAAATACGGCAGGGACTAGCTTTGTTTTAGAATAAAATGATATTAGTCATCCACAAGACAATATTCTGTTTACCCTTTAGGGGTTCCTTTTCAAAATTTTATGATCACACCCATCACTTTTATATGGGAGTCCCTCATCCCAGGGAAATAGTAAGCTGGCAAATACACCATAGGGCAGAGTTGTAGAAGGGATTTACTGATCAAACCTAACACAAACTACTTGACTGAAATTAAAAAAAAAAAAACATTTCTCCCATCATAACACAAATACCAAACCTCGTCTCCTTTGGACCTTTTCTTTCGGGAGATCCGGAGCGGGAACGCGAGTTAGACTTCGATCTTGAACTGGAGCTCTTACTATGGGAGCGTGAAGAGCGGCTTCTCGACCTTGACGATGACGAAGAAGATGAACTACTACTGCCACTGCGTCGTTTTTTCTTGGTGGGTGGAGAACCGGATTTTGATCTTGAGCGGCTGAAAAATAAGCAGTCAAAATACAAATGACAGGTAAAAATATATTATAGTGACAAGTGCTACATGCTCTACAGAGACACTTCACGGATCTCTGTAGAGCTACGTCATCAGTATGGAATATTTCAATATTTGCACAAGCTATCCAGAATTTTGTTTTGCACTGCATGCAGTCAGGAGGGGCTGACCTGTTAAACTGGTTTCTTTGTGGAATAAGTGTGCTAGTTTTATGCATTATTTTTTCTAGATACTAACTTTTAGGATGTGTGTAGATAGCACCATGAATGTATTATTTAAATGCTAATGTTGGCAGAGTGCCTGGCCCCACCTGAATTAAGAAGGATTGGTGGGGCAGACAGGGGGGAGGAGTTTACCGGCCCTTTGTCCTTGTTTTCACTATCTGAATCATCAAGGTTGTACTTTGATAAGTCACCATCTTCATCGTCATCTTCATCCTACAGTAATCAGGAATAAATTAGAACATGATGCATGAATTAAGACTGGCTTATGAGACTTTAGATCGGAGATGCACTGGCCTAATGGTTCATGTTGGAATCCGGATCGAGTGATCCAGGTTCGAGTCCTGGCCGGGGTCACTGTGTTGCATTCTTGGGCAAAACACTTAACTCTCGCAGTGCCTCTCTCCACTCAGGAGTATAAATGTGTGCCAGTGAAAAAAAATGTACCTTATTCTCACTTATTTTTGCGAGTATTAATTTCCGCGGTTTTCGCGATGTAGCAAAAACGCGAAAATAAAGACAATATTTTAGTAAAATTTTAAAGCCTTTGGACCCTTTTTTTCTGAAATCGTGAAATTAAAGCCTCTGTCGATTTCACGAAATTAAGTACGCGCGAAAATGAGTAAGAATAAGGTAACCTGCGATGGACTAGCATCCCATCTGCAAAAAATTATTACTCCTAGTTGCTTCAATGGAAACTGGGATAGGCTCCGGCAGTTGTGGGCCATTTTGGCCCAAGCGGGCTTGTGAAGACTTTACCTATGAGATTTCTAAGGGAGGTGCATTGGCCAAATGGTTAGCATGTTGGACAGGACTCCAGATTATGTACTCTGCTCACGCCCTGGTCAGGGTCATTGTCTTGTGTTCTTGGGCAAGACACTTTAATCTCACAGTGCCTCAAATCACCCAGGAGTATATGGATTGGGCAAATCTGACAAAATACTTGTTGTAACCCTGTGATAGACTAGCATCCCATCCAGGGGAAGGTAGTAATGATAATGCATAAATTTATTATAGCAACATTTGGCAATACCTCGTCATCCAAGTTATATTTTGACAGGTCGCCTCCTTCTTCATCATCATCATCATCATCATCATCATCTTCCTTGTCATTGTCAGGTTCTTTATTTGGTGCTTTCTGTATAATGAAGTGAAATGATGAACAGAGTTATACTTAGTGCAAAGTTCTGTTTTTACTATGTTTGACTCCATATGTGCCAACTGCATTGCTTTGTGCTGGCTATGGAACAAAAATGAAACATGACAGGGATGGGGAACCCAAAGGTAAAGCGGGTGCGAGGACTACGCGAGGCAGGAGAAGAGAGGGCTGACAGCAGGATTCCCAAGGTGGCGGGAATCAAGAAAAATAGGAACTTTTTTTGCAACATTGTGTAATATTTTACAATGGAAAAGCACAAAGAGGTGGAACACAGCGGAAGGGGTGGGAACCGGGAGTACAAAGTATGGGAAGCAGGAAGTTCAGACCCCCCTGTCCTCCCACACTGGATAATAGCCAACATCTCTTCATCACCCAACTTATTCTGATGCCAAATCTCCTTAAAGTCAACTGAATCTCTGATACAAACAAGAATACCCTCGTTTTCCCAAAATCCAACATTGATTTATCATGTACCTGTTCAGCAACTGTTGGATTAGATCCTTGCTTAGGTTTCCTCCTCCTTCCAAACTATTGTAGAAAGATCAAGGAATTCAAAGAAAATTATAAGTTACATGTCAAATTATAATTTGTCACACAAAGCAAAATAAATGAATTATTTTAAAGTGATGATTAATTTCCATCCAACTCAGTATACAAAATCAAGGGCCATTGCATGCACCTTATCTTACTAACAGTAACAAATCTAACTACAGTTGTACCTCTCTACAACGGCCACCTTGGGGCCAAAATAACTGGCCGTTGTAGAGAGGTTTCAATTAGAGTAAAGAGTTTGCATCGGTGTACGGTTGGACGAAATGTACTGGCGTTGTTAGAGAGGTGGCCGTTATGGAGAGGTGGCCGTTAGCGAAGGTTCGACTGTATATAATAATCAGTGATCAGAAACAATTAAAACATGATTGTGCGGTTCCAGAAAATATCCATACCCACGGACATACATTGTAAGGAAGGTCATTGGAAATTCCAAGAAGAAGGGGAGTCTCAAAAGCAAAATTTTTTAAAGGAAAGTATGAAGCTTATTAAACTGGAATTTCCTGGGGGCTGGGGGAGTGGGTTCAAACCGAAAAAAAACTTCAGTGGAGGTTAAAGATATTTTTATGGAACCACACATTACACGCATGAAATTTCAACTACCTCATCAAACTCATCATCGGAAGCTTCTCTCTCAACATATTCTACTCCATCACGTTCATTATAACCACCACCATACCCTGTATACCAATAATAATAAATTATAATATTATTAGTAAATATAAAAATATTCATACTTTACGAGTCATATTGGATGTAATCAAACATGGGAGTTTTTGAGAAAGATATTATTCTGTCAGTGACACAAGCTACTCGGAAATTTTTTTCTGAGTTCCCCCAACAGGAGTTGAACCTATGACCTTCCGCACACGGTCAGATGCTCTACCACTGAGCTACAGGAGACTCATGGGAGCTAAGGCCATATACATGTAAAAAAACAAACCTCCTGTATACAGTCTAGGATGGTTGGTTTTCTTTAGTTATGATATCCAATACTTGTGAAGTGAGTTGAAAAAGAAATTAAAGGGACACTGTCCCGGCGTATTTGCTCAAAAACTGTTATAAATGCACAAAATGGTCCCTAAATCTATCAAATAAGAACTTAGGAAACTCTAACTAAATGATAAAAAGCAATTTCTTCAAGAAATTCCATACTGCAACAAAATTTCAAAGATTTCCGAGACAAATTTGAAACTTTGAAAAACTGACATCCTGATGTTTTTTCAAAAACCCCATATTGCAACCATTTCCATCCTCGCTGTCATTTGTCATCCTCACTTCCTAATGGGTTCCTGTCATTTGTCGAGTGCTATTCTACAGAATCAAACATTATTGTTCAACTTCCTATGATCTAGATATGTTTCTGAGCTTCCAAAAATCATGCTAAAATCAGGACAGTGCCCCTTTAATATGTAATGTATTCACAAAACGTGCCATAAATAATGCAATTTTGAGGCAAAAGTAAAAAATCAACAAAATATTCACATATACCCCTCTTGAACCAAGCCCTTCATTCATTTATTTCTTTGGGTGGGAGGGGGGGGGGGGGGGGGGAGGTGGGGGAGGTGGGGACATTCCTGTGACATTAATTAATTAATTAGAGAGGGGCATTTAAATGGAGGTTATTATTTGAATCACCTGTCCTGAATTCAACTTTAGAAAATTATAGGATGGCCGCACATGTTACAGTCACCTCTACGAGCCCAATTTACATTGCCACATCTAAAGGGAAAATAAAATATATCATCCATGGCAATGAATATATGAAATAATAATAATTA